CCGCCCCCCCTATTTACCAGTTTGCATCCAACCCCTCCCCCCCCAAATATCGGTAAGTACTTCATACAATGATAATTTGATTCAACAATCAACACAGAAAAGAAAAAAGAAAAAAACAACAACCACACAAGCAACTCTTCAGGCAAAAAACTAAAGTAGAATTGTACAAAAAACAAACGGCGTCAAACGCAGGAAATGAGATTGCAAATGATAACAACACTGAAATATATAAAATCACACCAGATAAAAATGGTCATGAAAGCTCGCGCTGAGTCGTGCACGCCGACCACGACGAGCATCAATCGAAACTGAAACTGTACATGGAAAATATACTGTGCATGAAAAGTCCTCAACGACGCAAAGTACCTGTCACTGAAAACAGAAATGAAAAATGCAACATATGCAATGTATCCTACAGGCTACTGCTAAGGCAGTGGTACCACATGTCGAAAAAAAAACAAACGAAACTGTAGTGTACAAGTCGTGTCGTAGCTACTCTGCGAACACCCTACTGGTCCAACGCTACTCTACGAACACCATACTGGTACCAAATCATACACACCGAAAACAAAGGAAACATCATCTAATACATTTGTAGCACGCTGCACGCACACAACCACTGAGAGCCTAACAACACTAGGACAAGACGAGACGACCAAAAAAACTAGGACCGCACAGCATGACGAACCGCAGTGCGAGCAGGGGAAAAAGGAGTGTTGGCCTCATCAGTCAATGACGCTTCTTCCCCTTCCCGCTCTGTCTCCTCGTACCCCCTCGCGTGTTGGATGTCGAACTCCTCCTCCCTCGTGCTGATGCGCGCCGTCTGGCTGCACCTCGCCCTCATAGTCCTCGTCCTCCTCCCGCACTGCCACATCTGTCTCAGGATCCTCCTCCTCGATGGTGACAGGGGCCCCTGCCTTCCTCAACACAACAACCCTCGCACTAGCCTCTACAACCGTCTGCTCACGGCGCGATCCACTAGGCATCCCCGACCCCTCTGCCCCCGAAGTTTCTCCAAGTGCATCTCCTCCCTGTGCGGGCACGGGACGTGGACGAGGAGGCACTCCGCGCTTGCGTGGAGTCTACTCAAGTACGGCACGCGTCGCTGCTCTCAGAGCGTGCTCCAAGCTATCGGCGGACACTCCTCTTCCGCGACCTCGCTGAGGCTCACAACCTGATGCTGCCACCTCCCTCGCTGTGGTCATCCTACCGCCGCGGGGTCCTAAACCCGGCTGTAGACGTGCAGTGTGCTCCGTGACACGGCAGGTGGAATCCAAATCTATGTTTGTCCTCCCGAACAACGCTGTGTCACTCACGTTCCCCACATCAGCTGTAGTGTCCCGAATCCTAGACCTCCCAGGCGTGTGTGGAGATCGAGAGCCTCTGCCTATGGGCGACGATGACGAATCACCTACAGGTGGTTTAGGAGGAGGGGGTGGCATGTCTCGTGTACCTGGCGCCGTCTCCACGACACCACCTGAAACCCCTCGAACATCTCCCGTCGTACGTGCTCCGGTGGAGGTAGACCCAGACCACACCGGCGATGCAGGACCCCATGGAACTAGAGGGATCGCCTGCCATGCTGGATGCTATAGCCTCTGGTCAAAGATCCGCCGGTCCAAGCGAGTCACATCGCGGATAGCCTCTCTCGCCAACTTGTCTGCATCCAAAGGACGACGGACCTCCTGCGGAGCAAAGTGACTAGGAAGACGCGGTGGCGCAACCACCGGTTCGGACTCCAAATCCGTGATAACGGGGGGCGGCACACCATGCACTGCCATCGGCACCGGCTGCGACTATCGGCCCTGAGCCAAGTGCAGGCCCGAGAACGGAACGACTGGACCCGTCGCTGTCTCCTTGACCACACATCGTGTGTCACCCACACCCTCGTCTCGCCGCCGTCCTGCCTGCACAACCCCATCCACCGCCTGTTGCAAGCCCTCCACATGAACATCCGCTGCCTCTCGCCCACCCTGCACAGCCTCAGCGTCCGCCTGTGCTACCACTCTCTCCACAACGTCCTCCCCCACCACCACCTCACC